TAATAACAATTTTGAAAAAATAGTAATAATTTAGAAACAACCCCTTGAAATCTAATATTTCAAAAACGGGGCACCACAAAAATATAAAATCTGTACTATTAGTTATGACTTCTAGAAAACTAATTAAAGGTATAATAACAATTTTTAAAAACCACCTCTTGGAGGTGAAATCTAATATTTCAGAAACGGTATACCATAAAAATAAAAACCTGTGCCGTTAGTTAAGATTTCTACAAAGACTTAGCGTATAATAATAATTTTAAAAACCATCACTTTTTTAAAAACCATCCCTTGGGGGTGAAATTTAATATTTTAGAAACGGTGCATCACAAAAATGTAAAATCTGTTAGTTATGACTTGTAGAAAGACTAATTTACCATACAGTAACAATTTTCAAAAATAAGAAAGTTATTCCTAAATATAATTTACAGAAAAAAAACGTTTTACTCAAGTTTTAAATCGCACAGTCTTTAAATCGAAGTAAGTTATCAAAACTTGGCGTGCCCGGATCATAATCAAGCACAAATTTAATATTTAATTATATAATGTTTAAGATTTTACATTTTGTTATATTTGTTGGGATATATTTGTTTATAATGTAAACGATCCGAGCATGCCAAGTTTTTATAACTTACTTGGATTTAAAGACTGTGCGATTTAAAACTTGCATAAAACATTTTTTTTTTTAAGTATATATATTATATAAAAAATGTTTTAGGAATTAAAAGAATCCTAATTCTTATTTAGTGTTTTAAATATTTTATAAATATTTTAAAAATCAAGTTTCTCTGAATAAATATAAAATGCGTTTTAATTTTTTAGGAAGAATTTGTGTATAATATTTCTACAATGTAAAATTGATTCATGGCAAATATTATATCAAATTTACAAATTGTTCTTGTATAATAGTAATTATTGATTTCCCATTTAGTTTTGATATTTTATTTTTTTATATTTTTTTATGATAATTATTCGCTGAGGTTTTGTTTTTTTGAAAAATAGTTTTGTAAGGAATAATTATTATAAATTGTTTTTAAGGACTTTTTTCAATAAACATTTTGTTGCATATAAGGTAGAATATTTTTTATGTACTTGGCGTATTTTTTTAACCTTTGTAAAGTTTCTTTAGAGGGATATCACATCTTTTTGTAAAATTTTATATCCTTTCTACAAATTAATTTTTGGGGAAAATTTTTGTAAATTATTTTTAGAGACACTTTTTTATTAAACGTTTTGTTGCATACAAAGCGAAATATTTTTTATGTACTTGGCGTATTTTTTTTACCTTTGCAAGGTTTTTTAGATAGAATTGAGAGAGAGAATAAAATGTATTCTGTAAAATGCTTTATTGATACCGTGTAGATGGAACTATAATATATATAACCTATATAAACATGAATTGTAGTACTCCCGATTCTTATTCATATACAAGTGTTCAGTTGTTCCTTACAAGGGAAGTGCACGAAGTGTTAATCGCGAATGGATATGTGTTATATATCGTTTGAAAGGTCTTGTCAAGCTGAATTCATGTATGCAATATTTCTTTTGAATGGCGCCTTTAGAGGACGCTATGCAATGCAAATTACATAATTATTTGGGTTTCTATAAAAGCTGATTGGAGTTTTTGCTTCAAAAATGGTATCAAATAAAAGGTCTCTAGTAGTATAATCAATTGCATAAGTTTTATTTAGGATATTTTATTTAATATAATATAAATTGCACTTTTTATTTTATCTTAAAAACAAAAACAAAGTAAAGAAAAAAGAAAACCAAGAAACTAATAATATTAAAATTTTACAAAAATATATATTCCATTTTTCATTTTAGAAACAAAAATAAAACGAAAAAAGAGCTGCAAAACTAATGATAATGGTAACGTTCAAAGAGTAATTGTAGCAAAGAGATTTACTACAAAAATCATATGAGCACTTGATGCAAGTAGGATTTTGATTACAAATCTGGCAAATGGGCAAAAGAAAAGTTTATATATTTCAATCTTTTGAATTGTATATACGGAACATCAAACCCGCCTTTAAACCATGCATACCTGAATATCGGTTGATAGACTGGAGATTGAAATTGGTTTAAAATCAAGCTGTGGATTTTTAATATATTTTCACGTCTGTGCAAAAGAGTTTGATTTCCTGTAAGAAAAGCGTGTTCCGTGAAACGAGTTTGATAAAATCTTTCCATTGATGAAAACAAAATATATCGAGTGGTTGCATGAAACATGTTGAACTTTCTGGTAAAATTTTTAATAAAACAGTAACATTATCATCTTGATAAAGTTTGTCCGACTTTTGAGCGCCCCATGAATTTACAACTAGAACAGCCTTTTTTTCTGGATTTTGTTCAACAATGGGTTTAAAAACATTTTGAAAGAAGTCTCTTACAAGCTCCTTGTTTAATTTGCTAGATTTGGAACATTGAATTACGAGATTTTCGTAATTGGGAAGTTGTAGGAAATTGACCATTAACTTCCTGGAGACAAATCAGCATTGGTGACATCAATTTTCCCTCCATAGAAAGATGGTTGGATAGTATAAAAATGAGTTCGAGTATTTAATTGAGGCATCACAACTGTTGTAATTTTTTCATTTTTTATTGATAGTGTGCGATTAGAAAGTGGCGTGTAGTTAAATCCTGATTGATCGGTATTGAATATTTCACTTGCATCAAAATTTGAATAAATATTATCAACAAAATCGAGATGAAATTCAACGCCTTTATCCATAGTTTGCTCGGCTTCACATTGTTTCTTGACAGAAGTAAATAAACGAAAAGATTTTTCTCGATGAAAAACCAAAACTTCCCTTAAATTTATTGACCCATTGCAACGACGCTATGAAATCTGTCAATCCAATTATTTTAGCATGGTACAAAGCCTACCGTCGAATAATTGGATCATGGAACTGGAATTTCTTCCAAGCGGACATGAACTGCTCTAAATATTTTGTTATAGATAACCATTTTTCCCGATGTGTACCCTGCTGTTCAACATATTCTTTGCATCTACTTATGTAAATAGGATGTTTTATTTTGGGGAATCGAGCTTTAATTGTATTAAAAGACTATTTTGGATGTTCTTTATATGTTTCTGCAACACGCCGCGCATATTCAAGAGGTATAAAAGCTTCGTTGAAAGGTAAGCTTTCTTCTTCATAAATTGACTCAACTTTGTTATTTTCAAAAATGGTATCAGTATATACATCTTTAATTATTTCAAACTCAAATTGATCTTCATTATCCATGGAATTGACCATGGACATGATTCTCTCCGCTAATTGAATCTCTCTACGAGATGGGTTGCCCTCAATAGTGGCATAATTTACAAGTTTCTGCTTGAAAAGTTCAAATACTTTTAATGCCCTAATATCCATTTTGCAGAATATAAAAAACAAAGAAACAGCAATAACGCAAAAAAAGAAAAAATGCAAAAAATATACGAACAAATCTTGTATTAAAGCTTTAAAGCTTTATTAAAGTTTTAAAACTTTGAAAATCTGCACTTGGAAAGTAAATAGAACTTTTTTATTTCAAAAAATGTAATGTATGCTATGAAATCACAAATTGGATTTACAGCTGACTTCCCAAAAGGAAAAAAACTTATGAAACTTGGTGTCGCAGCATTAGTTCATAGCAGTAGGCAGTACTAGTACATAGCATTGGCAGGATTGCAAATTTTTTGAATTGTGATTTTTAATAATTAATTAAAAATTTTAATTACAACTTAAAAATTCCTATAATTAAGTAATAATCTTTGTTTTTTTAATTATCAATTAAAATTATTGACAAGTTTAATTGATAATTAAAACTTTCAATTACAAATTAAATTTTCCTATAATTGAAACCATCGTTTCAATTATCAATTACGGGCTAGTTTAATTGATAATTAAAACTTAATTATTAATTAAACAATTAATTAAATGACGAAATTAAATTAATTATTTGCAACCCTGAGCATTGATATGTTTATTGTGGCCGTTACTTGATATTTCGGAGTAGGAAAGCCAGCCTAGCTCTATAACTTACTTAGCTCTTAATTATCGCGCATAACGCCCTCTAAAGGCGCCATTCAAGCGAAATATTGCACACATCAATTCAGCTTGACAAGACCTTTCAAGTGATATATAACATATATCCATTCGCGATTAACACTTCGTGCACTTCCCTTGTTAGACATCATTGTGAACGATTTCTATTATTTATTCTTGTAAGTTCAACCCTCAACAAATGAATATATTTTTTGATGTTGTGTACATATAGATGTTCATGTTTCACATTGGAAGTATACATTTTACTTTGACTTTTACAGAAAGTGAACATTGTTTTATCTTGCAAAATATACGCGATGTCCACCCCTGAGTCAGTGCGAAACGAGATTTATTATTGTATTGTTCTACATAAGTTTGCAATTCTCCATGCATCAGAGGTTATGTGGAGTGGATCTCGCGTGTACTTTGCAAGGTGAAACAAAGTTCACTCTCTGCGAGAGTCAAAGTAAAATGCATACGCGTGGATAAAGCCCCCTGCGGGGGGCTCCACTTTCGAAAGGTATAATCTAACTTAGCCCTATTTTTTATTTAAACCAAATTTTAGTTTTAATGTCTAAGGAACAACTGAATACTTGTATATAAATAAGAATCGAGAATTCTACAGAGACTACAATTCATGTTTATATAGGTTATACTATAGGTATATACTATAGTTTTATCTACACGGTGTGAATAAAATTTACATTCTATTTATAACTTCTTATGTTGATAACTTTATAACGAATCACGAGCGACGATTAAAATTTTTTGAAGGTTACTCAGAAAGATGACCACTATAACATATATGTCAAGATCAAGGTTAGAGGTTGTTCCCCTAAAATAAATAATTACCCTAGTAATTATTCTAGTGTTAATATTATGTGTATTTATGTGTATTATTAATTTTTTATTTACTCTCTTTTTATAATATTTATTCCAGTATCTATAAGTATTAAAAATCGTAAAATAATAACTCCAAGCATTAATACAAATATATTACGAAAGTTATTTGATATATTTGTTCAACAATCTTTAATATTAACGGATGAATTAGAAACAGTTGGACTAAATAGAAATAAAATCACTCTTTTTGAACATATATTGAAGTGCAATCTAAATGCTGCATGCGGTAAGACCAAATTTTTTTTATTTATTGTAAAACGTTTGCATATACTTTTTATAAAAATTTAAAAAGAAATAAACAATTTTCTAAGAGATATAAAAAGAGAACATTAATGATAAATAATTGTTTGCATTTTATAAATTAAATAATATTAAATCAACTTAAAGATGAAATTTCAAAGAGTATAAAATTATGTATAATAATAATTGAATAACAGCAGATTTATTTCACTTAAATTGGAAGTAATCATAAGTTTACACGTTAAAATTATGAATATAAGTGTCCATAAATGTAAAATTACCTTTTTTCAAGAAAGCATAAAGAAAGGTACTTAATGACTCACGCATGCTTATTCAAAATTTAGTTTACAAAAAATGTTAGTTTAATATATTTAAAAACGTATTACAAAGAAATGTTATTTCATCTTCCAATGTTTATTCAAATCTCTTTTTTGTAAAAAATTACAAAAAAATATGCTAATTGAAAATATAATTGAGAATATAAAGTTATTTAAACTTATATATTTTTCTTGTAAAAATTTCAATATCATAAAAATATTGCAAAGAATGTAAAAATCATAAAGAAATTTAGTGCAAAACATTATAAAAATTTAATGTAAAAAATTTTATATTGTTATATAACAACATTTATTTATAATTTAATTTATTTTTCTAATTTATTCATATCATATTGTAGGATTTTAGATGTAGGGTATAGAGCGATGGCCGACTATAGAATATAGAATATACGTGTATTCTCGAAGCGCGACACTCTCGATATTTCGATCTTGCTCTCTCATTCCCTTCGCTTGTCTACTCGCTTTCAGCTATCGTGCACGACTTGACCCTCGCACATCACATGTACACGCTTCTCATCCTCGCGTAACCGCTCACGCAAATCGCGTGTTACACCGATACATTGATCGGCACATTGCATGCGCGGCAAGGGCCCGCCAAATTCGACATCCTACAATATTATACTGTATTATAGTTGTAATGGTTCTTTATTCTTCCCCTTGAGGATTGAAGGCGCTTCTGAAAGGAGCGGTCCCGAACCTTTTACTATTTGTACAGTACATTACATATACCTATATTAATTCTACAATTCCTTTTATCATCCTCCTTCTTTCTTATTTCTTTCTCTCTTGACTTCCTACTCCACTTCAGTTCTTCTTTCTTATCACCGTCTCTAACTCCCCACACTCCTTTCGTCTTTACCTTTTCTGTCTTTCCTTCTTTTTCTTCTTTTACCTTCTTTCTCTCTTCTTTTGCTCTTCCTTCTTCTGACTCCTGATTTTCTCCTTCCTCTACTTCCTTTTTTCCATTATTCTTTCTGGACATACCGCCCTTTATATCACTCCTTGTACCCTTCTACTTCCGTCTTTCTTTCTTTTCCCTTCTTTCCTTCATTTCTACCTCCCTTTGTCCTCATTTTCTGTGACCTTGTCTTAGGGTTGCCAGATTTGTAAATCCCGAATAGAGGACAATTTTAAAACGCCCCCCCCCCAAAAAAAAAGGAAATCGAATAGGCAGATAATTATAGTTTAATAATTTATAAGTAATGAAAAATTCACATTCCGTTTAACGTACGATGTACGATGTCCAATAGTCAATTGGAAGAATCGTTTCTTGGGGACAAAACTATTCTTACATAGAGACACTAAAAAGTGAAACCTTCTAGTTCTGTTAGATCCATGAATGCGCGGACACAGACATCTATATATACACTAGACTGCTAACTCCACCGAAATATATAGTTCTGAAAAGTATGTATAAAATTCTTGCGCATGCGTGAGACGCAAGGGGGACATCAATATATGTATATGCGTGTGTGTGTATACATATATTTACACATACCGGTACGCGCAATTTATTCTATACATTTGAATAATATTTATAAATAATATGTTTTTCATTCTTTTTTGGTTATATATAGTAAATAAGTAAAGTTATTATAGTAATTATAGTAAATAAGTTATTATATAGTTAAAGTTAAGTTATTATAAAGTTATTATAGTTATAGTTAAGTTATTATAAAGTTATTATATATAAATACTTATATATTTATTTTATGAAAAATGGAAAATAGTATAAAGAATAAAAGTTTGAGAAAAATAAAATAAAAATATATAAAATAATTATTTATTTATTTATTATTTATTTTGCTACACAAAATAATGATCGAATCATAAGAAAAAAAATTTTTTAAGTATATTCTAAATTTTATGTTTACTTTATTAAATTTTGTTTATTTTATAAATTTTATATTTACATTTTTTATGTAAATTTAATTATATCTTAATTTTATGTACATAATATTCTATAATAGAAGTAGAATTTGTTAATAGGAAAATAAAATAAATATAAATTTAGTAAAAAAATAATAATTTTATTAAAGTTGTTTTGCACATTATTCTCTATAAAATAAAATGTTTTGTTAATTGAAACTTTTTTCTACAAAGTTTGAGAATTTCTTGTAAATAACATTTAACATAGGAATGTAATCTTATTTTAATGATGACTTTATTATTATTGTAAATCGCCAGTAATAAAAATTATAAAGGTTTTACTTTAAACGATTAAACTGGCAAGTAAGGCTTCATTTATTAAAAGTTTGACAACGTTTCGACCTTAGGTTTAGGTATAGGTTCCTTTTCAAGTCTATAATAAAAAGATTACAAATAGTTTTACATGATTAACGCATTAAAATTATAAACGAGTTTATGATAAAGGAACGCATACAGTAGAAATGGCAATAAGCGCTCAAAACGATGCAGGCAAGAAACGGTGTAACATACCTTAATTAACGTATAACGGATAAAGTGTTATAAATATGACAGTCACATTACATGTCAGAACGTCGACTGTATAAAAATACAAAACAAAAACAATATTATATTCTTATTTTAATGTATCGAGAATTAACTGAAATTAAAAAAGTTTTACACATTATTCTCTGTAAAATAAAATTTGTTTTGTTAATGGAAATCTTTTCCTACAAGGTTTGAAAATTTCTTGTAAATAATATTTAGCATAAGAATGTAATCTTATTTTAATGTATCGAAAACTAACTAAAATTAAAAGTCATATTTTATAAATATTCTTTTCATTTATTCGCATGTATCCATGTGGTGCATCGGCCATATTAGATGATATCATCACGTGACCACATCACATGATCATTTGTCCCCCTTTCGTAATACATAACATTTGGAGACAACTTTTATGCCCGATATATAAGGAAGTTAGCAATCTAGTATAATATAGATGTCTGTGTGCGCGGATTACCAACTACAAGTTACCAATTACCATCTAGAAAGAAAACAGGAAGGTCTCTAGTTTCTTTTCAAATAGCACCGCTCGACGAAAAAAAAAGAGGGAAACATTTGCCGAAATTGGAGGATAAGTAGCGTCCTCCGGAGAACAGAAAAAATTTTATTAAATTGGAGGACTGTCCTCCCTATTGGAGGACGTCTGGCAACCCTACCTAAACTACAACATATTTCAATTTCAGCCAATTTGACCGAAGCCACTTTTTTCATATAAAATGTGTGGGGTCCTTATGAAATTTTTTTGATATTTACTTTCACATTTTTATAATATTTTTTAATATTATAATTTTTGCAAGAGATATATAAGCTTAAGCAATTTTTAGCTAATTTCTTCTATAATTTTTTGTAAAAAAACAGAAATAAACAGTAGAATAATAAAATAATGATAATACGATGATACGATATATGAAATGCTTTTTTGATATATTATTATATTATTAGTTTTATATAAATTTTAATTTAATAACATCTTTTTGTATAATCATTTTTAAACAAACTTGCACATATACTTGGACATATAGCATTTTTTCACTCTTTCTTGAAAAAGTAATTTTGTAAAGGTTACATTATTTTGTTCGTAATATTTATTACGAATTTTTAGCAATATATGTGACACAAATCTTTTGATTAAAGATTATAAATAGGGACATCTACTTTGTAAATAATAAGACCCAAGCTATTAGTTAAACCTATTAAGAATTCTATTGACTCAATTGTTACTGAAATCTGACTACGATATTCATAACTGACCGGCTCAGATAGATACAGTTCGCCTCGCTGTTGGTACGGCTGACTTGATATGAAACAATACCTTTCTTTACCGTTTCTCTTGATTTTTGAATTTTTATATTCTTACATTCTAAAATTTTTTAATAATGAAATGTGTAAAATATGCTGTAAAATATTATTCAACACTCAACATAGTACATTAACATCGAAAACATTGAAACTAACAAATAATAAAATGCACAATTTAATCACAGCTAATTATTTCAAATAATAACAAAATTTCAATTTGGTAACAAAACGTTTAATTTTTATTTTAAAATTTCGTACCGTATTTGTTAAGCGAATGTGTAATTGTATTAACACTATTATGTAATTGTATTAACTTAACACTATTATATTAACAATACTCTAACTAGTAATCGACTAATAATATCAATATTATTAGTTGATTATTATTTAGTATTGTTAATATTGAATAATGAATAATGAATTCGTGTTTTTCATTCATATTAACATTATAAAGGCACACTGATGAACATGAAAATGGATAATTTTTCAAATGAAATCAATCAACTTGTTGAAGGAATAATAAGGTAAAATTTTTTTATATATAAAATTCTAGTTTTTTACAGTATTAAAATACATAAATCATAAACATAAGTTCATTTAAAAATAACTTTATAAATTTTCTTAAGAAGTTGCATTTTCAAAAGAATTTTTTATAAATGTGTGCAGCAATTATATCTCAAATTAAACTTTTATTAATATAAGCAGTTTCATTAACATAAAACTAAAAACAGTATTTTTTCTTAATTTTATTCATGGAATTTAACATGATTAAATATGTTTTATATTTTATAAAATATTTTAAAAGAAAAATGTTTCAGCATGAAAAAGACATTGACACAAAGAATACAAAATATACTTTTATATCCTAATTTTATATTCAACCTTACTGTTATGGGACGGAAATATCGAAAGAATGTAAATTTCCTAAATTCTTTCACAGATAAGGTAAATATTGAGAATATTAATGAAAATTAATTAATTTGCATAGTATTTTACTTACTACATAATCTATTATTATAGTTAATACAAATATATGCATTAAATGAAGAGAATACCAAGAAAAAATATGAACCAACTCGTAAGTTTTTATCCATGCTGTACGTTTTTATCGTTGTATTATGATTTATGATTTAAAATACTGTTGTATTATGATTTAAAATACGTAGATTTTCAGCAAAATAATATTTATACAGATTTAATTAAAACAAGATTAAAGTGCTTATTTTAATTATTAAAATACAATCAAAATGTTTAATTCTGTAATCATTGCTAAAGGTATTTTTTTCTTTAAACTTTATTTTCAATATTAATTTTCAAAATAACATATCGCGAATTCTACTATTATAAAATAAAAAACATACGCACGTACATACGCACAAAATTTCACATTTTATTTTTTAAATGATATAGAAAAAACACTTCTCGATATTCTAATAGAAGTATTTCATGAAGACAAGGGCCCACAAAAGATGATACGTGATAATTTAAAAACAATGATATTAACGGTATGTAAAATATTTCTATACATAATTATATTTTTATATAAACAAATATAATTTATTGTATTGTATAAATATAGAAAATTGGGAAGAATTAAAGCTAAAGAATGTAGTAAATAAATATACTTACCTTACGTAAAAAAATCTTCTTGATAATAAACGATTTCGATTCCTTTCTTTGATATCTTCATACAAAAATAACATTTTATTTAATAAAAATAAGAAAAAGAAGAAATCAATTACAAGCAATGAATGAAAACAATCAAAAAATTGATAATACGGATTGCCTCATATTTTTTAACATATATCATATGCTATATTTCAGATTTTTAGATACGTGATCCATATATATGATCGGAATGTAATTTATTTTACCATTATATATAAATTGCATATAAATAAATTGCATACCTTCATTAAAGTATATAAAGACGTTCTCTCTAAACAATCATGTAAAAAATAGTATATAAAATTGTTATGTAAAGATTATGGTGCATCATATTTTAGCTAGACAGGCAGATTATTATATAAAAACATACATTATTGAGTATCATAATCACATTAATAAAAACGATATGCTGTATAATAACAAACCGCAGATTACTGAATCATGAATTTAAATGAGATAACGTTGAAATCTTAGATGTAGAGGATATTTTAATAAGAGATTTTATTATCAGAAATATTTATTAAACATCAGAAAAATACTCAATTGATAAATATGCTGATATGTTTTCCACACATATACAGCGATTGAAAAGTTAACAAAAATTTAAATAATAAATTGTACGCCCCTATTAATTTAAATGTCTCTCGTTCTTAAAAGAAGAATTGAAAAATTTATTATTAAGAAGTATTTTTACACAATGTAAGTAAATTTATGCTTCTTATTAGCTCATTTCTTCTCAATATTGTAATATTCAACTCATCAGATCATTTTCTTGTTTATATTTATTTATTGTTTTAATTAACAAATAAAATTTTTATTTATTAGGCTTCCGACACAACCAGTGTTACGATAGATTTTGCGATCTTTATGTTAGCAAATTTTCCAGAGCTACAGGTACGTACTTATTAAATTTATTCAAAAACGTAATTAAATTTATTTGTAATAAATGGAATATTTGCGAATGATATAGTTCTTTATGATAAATGTAAAAAAAATTTTTTAGAAGAACAATCAAGAATATTTTTTCGTAACAAATTGCTTATGAAATGTTAAAATTGGCAAGTAAGAGCAAAAGCGCGACAATTATGAAAGAGAAATTAAAGAAAAGATCTCCCCTTTTATTATAATATATTTCAAAATTTTTTAAAATATATTAAATGAGGGGTTCCTGTTTGCCTACATTCCTGATTTCTAATTGTTTCGTTTGCGTACAACATTTTGTTGATAGCTTCTTTTGCTAATATTCTCGATTGCCTACATGTATTATTATATGCATGAAAAAAAATGAAAATACAAAAGTTGCACACATGACATTATTGTGCACATACACATTGCACACATAATATTATTGCACCCATACACACATACATTGTACACCCATACATTGTATGTACATATGTGTAATATTATTACACATATACTCATTGTACACATGACATTATTGCACATATGCATATTGCATACATGATATTATTTCATGCAAAAATAAAAATAAAAGTATAATTTGATGTTTTGGATAAGACTTTCGTATGCGACTTATCTCCGAATTTGACCAATTTTTACAGACATGTAGTACGTACTAAGTGAAGTCAAATGTCATGAGTGCGAATGAGCAGAAATGTTTTGTCTTGAGGTATTCAATTTTTTATTATTTTTATATAAATATGTCAAATTTTTTCGATTGCGTAAACGCAAAGTCGATCCTTTAGAGAACTGAGTGGGTCACTGAACATAATGCGGCCGAAATGAGTTCTATAATTCTATTTCACATGGCTTTTAATTTCAACGCGAAGCGAGGTCTACCCCATAACTCCCATGCTTACGGCCTGAAATGAGGTCTATAATTATTCTATTTCACATAGATCGACTTTTACACGAAGAGATCCACTCCTATTTACAAAATATAGTCCTAGGTCAAAATATTTTTGAATTCCAATGTTTTTTTCTATATGAAAATCTTAAATATTATTCATTTAAAAAGATAATTAAAATTAAAATATCTCAAAAGGTAAACGTTTCTGCATATTTGCTCTTGTAGCATTTGACTTTATTTAGTACTACATGCCTGCAAAAGTTGATCAAATTCGGAAATGAGTTGCGTAATATAACCATCAAATATTACCATCAATTTTAGCAAAACTCTTTTTTCAAAAACTCGCGAACAATAAAATATAAGAGTGCATTATAATTTTAATAATCCATACAGAAAATAATATTGGTATTAGATATTCACTAGATGTTCTTCATGGATATCAAGAATATCCATGAATATATGAGAAACAATTATTACAGATGCTATAGATATCCAAATATCCGCAATTCGAGATTCCATAAATATCTACATGTATAAATCAATATCCAATAGATATCCGTGTTTACAATATTCAGTGGACATTTATTATTAATATAGATACATTTATTACATATATATTGATATTTATTAAATTTTTGCATAGATATTTATTCAATGTTCTGTATACATATATGACGCAATTCGCCGTCAAAAAAGATTAATTATTTGTGGTTTATTTTTGGAACTCTGGAGCATCTTGCAAAAGATAGAGGAGATGCGGCTATAATAGTCTTTGAGCTAATGCGCTTTTTGAACGATAAGCCATGACTCACGACTGTGCCGCGTCTTATATACTTCTTATATACTATCTTACAAGGGAAGTGCACGAAGTGTTAATCGCGAATGGATATATATTATATATTGTTTGAAAGGTCTTGTCAAGCTGAATTCATGTGTACAATATTTCGCTTGAATAGCGCCTTTAGAGGGCGCTATGCGCAATATAAATTACATAATTATTTGGGTTTCTATAAAAGCTGATTGGAGTTTTTGCTTCAAAAATGATATAAAATAAAAGGTCTCTAGTAGTATAATCAATTGTATAAGTTTTATTTAGGATATTTTATTTAATAGAACATAAATTGCATTTTCTATTTTATAATTAATTACAACTTGAACATTCCTATAATTAAATAATAATCTTTTTTTTTTTAATTATCAATTAAAATTATTGACAAGTTTAATTGATAATTAAAACTTTCAATTACAAATTAAATTTTCCTATAATTGAAATCGTCGTTTCAATTATCAATTACGGGCTAGTTTAATTGATAATTAAAACTTAATTATTAATTAAACGATCAATTATATGACGAAATTTATTATTTGCAACCCTGAGCATTGATATGTTTACTGTGGCCGCTATTTGATATTTCGGAGTAGGGAAGCCAGCCTAGCTCTACTTACAATGCGCATAGCCTAGCTCTACTTACAATGCGCATGCCCTCTAAAGGCGCCATTCAAGCGAAATATTGCACACATGAATTCAGCTTGACAAGACCTTTCAAACGATATATAACACATATCCATTCGCGATTAACACTTCGTGCACTTCCCTTGTTAGGTATATCCCATTTTCGGATTAGACGCTCTCATTTTCGTTATTTAACGGCGAAGCACAAAGCTCGTGGATGTATATAAATATCCACTGATATCTTTTTTGCTTCGTGAATATATATTCACACGCAAAAACCGGGCCACTATTTTAGCAAAATTTTTTAATATCTTTCAATATTAATAAATTAACATCTTTCAAAGTAGTATTGAGGTGAAATAAAGCTCAAATTAAAGCTTGAACATTCCTCTTAACAAGTCTTTGTAAATCATATTACGTTAAATATGAAAAGAGTCAAATAAGAATAAATTGAAATAATAATAATTACTTCTCATACATATGTATAATGTTTTAAATGGTTAAATATGCATAAAAGGTCATCGATTTTATTGCTATTTAAATTTGTTGTAGAGGACGGTTTTCTGAACAATTCTATGTAAGAATTAAGTGGGGGGGGGGATGGTATTGGTTTAGAAGATGCAACCAATTGAAGTTATGAACTGATATTAGGGACAGTTAATTGTTACTTGTATACCGTTCTAGTTTTTTTATGACCTTGTCAAAAACAATTTTTATTTACATTATTTTAGAGATAGCTGCATGGACGTGAGTATTTTATCAATAGTCGAATTGACTGTTTCATAGTTCGTTTCGTAAGCTTTCACCATGCAATTACACGAATTTCTAAGCCTTGTTATACATACGGGAAAGTGCAAGAAGGCTTTCGGATCCCTTCTCTTCATCTTTCCCGGCGGTAGGAGACGCATTGCGAGGAGTTCAATCACAATGGATATATGCTGTAAATTGTAAAACGAGATCCACCTTGCCTGAGGGGCGGTTTCGAAAAAAGGTGCCGAATGCCCCCTTGCATCCTCCCTCGCGTGTGTGTGTGTGTGTACATATACATTTGATATTTTTTAATTATATTAAATTGTATTAAATTCTATATAAATTTAAATTGTATTAAATATATTTAAAATTATTATTTTTTTATATAACAGCTAAAATAGTAGGTTTATGAAAAAAATACTTATAATCTTTTTTGTAGGGTTTTTCAGGGGCTTTACTACTACCTAAAAATTTTGTAGGGTTTTTCAGGGGCTTTACTACTACCTAAAAATTTTTTTCTTAAATCAATATTTTCAGAGATTCAGAGATTCAATATTTTCAGAGAAAAAGCATTAAAATTGTGAAACTTCAATTTGTTGTATCTTCTAACCCAATGTTATCTCCCACTTATTTCTTCGTAGAATTACTCAGAAAAAATTACTCTACAACATTCCCACTTATTTCAGAGGCGATAAAATCGGCGAAGTTTGACCTTCTATGCACATTTATCTTTAAATGTCATTGTTACGTCCAGGCCGTCTTGTTAAAGGCCATCTGGAAGAACGCAACCTATTTACTCCGTAACACACTTGTTAGGACATGTGTATATATCGGGTTGAACGGACTAAAGGGCTTGACACAGATCAGGGACCAAAATGATCTCTTTAACTCTGTGAAATGTTAAGCCTATCCGCTCGACGGTCCCTTTTTGGAAAAGGAATTTAATTCCTTTTATTCGGAACGGAGTAAAAGGAATTGTGTGATCGTAGGATTTAGGAAAGAGAGCGAGTTAGAAAAATAATAATTTAATCATAAGAAAGATATTTATTCATAAATACTTAATGAGTGGCCAATACATCGATACGAATTTACAAGAATTGAAATATAATATTTATGATATCTCTGAAGGGTGCATGTGTTTGAGACGTGTTTGTGTGTGTATGTATTAAATTTCGCGAATGTTACAATAGTGTGGGGGGTCATCAGTCAGGATGAATGGGAGAACCTAGCCTTTAAATTTTAGTCCTGACTGGGTTAATAATGATATTGCGGTTCAAAAAAAAATATTTAAATCTACATGTATATAAATTGTACCTGTATATGAAAGAAGAAAAAATATGGGATCAAAGATTTTTGAATTAAGCAATAGAAGAATGAAATGAGGAGCGCGCATATATTTATATTTGTGTAATTAAGTATCTTATTTTGTTTTTAATTTTATAATAGGAAAAAGTATACACAGAATTATTGGAAATTTATGGGACGGTAACTCCAAAATCTGCCCAAATTAAATATGAAGATTTGCAACATATGAATTACTTGGATTGTTTCATCAAAGAAACTATGAGACTATTTCCTGCTGCTCCTCTTATTGCACGACATCTAACAGAGGATGTAAAAATGGGTTTGTTTTTAAATATAATTATTTTGTAATTTTATACATATACATATATACATATATATATATATATATATATATATATATATATATATATATATACAGGGTGTCAGGGAATTTTTGACCTTCACAAAGTAAGGAGGTAGATTGACTTAAATTAAGAACAAAGAACCTCTATTGTTTTGTGATTATCGCAATAATTAACGAAAAATTAAATAAAGAAAATCGGCCAATGCGCGTGGCTAGAAGTACACGACGGCGAAGGCGGTCTGACTGTAATATAATGGCGGCGCGCGGCGAAGCGGTGGGTCGTGCTATAGCTTGAGCGGTCGAGCGCTTCTCCCATCCGTCCGATTTTAATAATTAATATTTCTATTATTGCAAAAATCGTTACATGGAATAGGACTTCTTTATTTAATTTACTGCGCTCTATCTTCTCACAAGTGCGTGAAATAGTGTTCAGGGACACCCTGTATATACAGGGTATCTCATTTTAGATAATACACTTAAATATCTCCGAAACGATGCGTCAAATAAAAAAAATATTTCAAAGAAAAGTTGTATGGCTTGAAGATGGCCATCAGATGGTGGCAATGATTTGATCTCGGAGAGTTGTTTGAAGGTCACATGAAGGTGTTTTGGAAAGCTCTTGAGGCAAGCTATAAGAATAGTTAATAAAAAGTAGGAGATTCCGTTTAAAAAAAAAAAGGTGACCTTCATGTGATTTTCAAACGACTGTCCAAAGTCAAACTGATAAGATCAGTAAATAGACCATTTCAAGCCCTATAACTTTTATTTGAAACATTTTTTTTGTACAACTCATATTTTTCGAAATAATCCGGTGTCCTTTCTGTTACATCCTGTATATTGATAATAAAATAAAATTATAGTCTTTCAAACTATAAGAATAATATTTAAATACAAAATAATATATGTTTTAGGAGAATTTATTTTACCAAAAGGCGTTGAAGTTGTACTATCAATACTAAGTGTTCACCGAAATGAAAAGTATTGGCATAATCCACTGATATTTGATCCGGACAGATTTCTCCCTGAAAAAATAGGAACATCTTACAAAAATTATTACATGCCATTTAGTTTAGGACCCAGAAATTGTATAGGTAAGCATGAATGAATTACAAAACATATATTACACATAAAATTTATTTGCATATAACTGTCAAGTTTTTATAGGTATGAAATATGCGATGATTTCAATAAAAGTTATCTTAGCTACTTTGATACGAACATTTATATTCAAAGTAGATAAACGCATTCAGATAGATGAAATTAAATAAAATATGGACATAACATTATCTTCTGTTGAACCTATAGAAGTTAAAATTGAGAAACGAGAATTACATTAAAAATATACTTTATATATTTTTAATGTAATTCTCGTTTCTCAATTTTAACTTCTATAGGTTCAACAGAAGATAATGTTATGTCCATATTTAATTTAATTTCATCTATCTGAATACGTTTATCTACTTTGAATATAAATGTTCGAGATGTGGAATATTGCCGGGATAACCTGTTAATCTGTGTAGAGGCCTCAACACCTTTTTTCTTTCTTCATTTCCCTTTTTTTATCAAATCGTTTATTTCTACTAGATTTGTTATACAATTTGGTTAAGGTCTGAATATATCTTATTTCGTAATCCTTCTCAGGAGTTTCGAGTTTCTTTCCATTGCCTCTTCCTTCGTTCCGTTAGACTTTAAGTGTTATAGTCGCGCTGAATAGTAAAACTAGCCCAGATTCACACTCTTTATCAATTGATTTTTAATTAACGACTGTCAACCGCGGACTCGTGGTGGACGGTTTTTAACATCTCGTCTTTAGGGATATTTTGCAGAGGATCATCTAGCGACATGACCATATATGGAAGATTTTCGTGGCGGTCAAGTCCAAGTGCAAGCGAAGGAGGTTCAAAGTCGAATCCCTTGGCATTTTCGCATTTCCGGCGAACTCGCGCGTGGTTCGCTGAGATAGCGGTTTTACGCGGTTTGCGAACATTCCATTTTATCATATATACATCGCATTTTAATTATACATCGCATTTTAATTATATAAAATTTATTAACGGTAAAATAAAATAAAGTTATAGTCATTCGGACTATAACAATATAAAATAAATAAATATGCAGATAACAACACGAAAGTTATTATTAAATTAAAAATTGTTATTAAATTATCATGAAATAAATATGCACTAGTGTTCACAATTATTATCATAATTAATAGACGGGCACCGTCAAAATTCGCGCGTGTGACGTCACGGATAGATTCCACTCGAGCGAGTCAAACGTGAGAATTTCCGCGTCGTCGTGCGTTATTACCCTTCGCGCGAAGTCACTGGCGCCTAATTACGGGCGGCCACGATAGTCGACTTTTCGCGAACCCAAATCAAACGCTCAAACCTCCTTAAAAAAAAAAGGTTCAAATCACAAAAAAAAAACACAAAAGAAAACAATCAAGCGGAAACATGTAAATTTCTCGAAAAATCCAAATCTTTCTCAAAGGGTGTGTTGTATAAAAGGGTCACGCGAAGATCACCTGGCGGGACTTCAGTCGTATACACAGAGGCGATCATTACGTTACTTACAAATTAAAATCTTCCGTTGCTCACGATTCAATTGCTCACAGCAATATTCATCTGTAAATTAATAAAAATCTATAAATTAATGTAAATAGTATATTGATCCGAATAGAATTGTGCTGTTTAAAATCAATAAAATTTATTTAAAAACCACAGACTTATTAATATCGCGACTCTTTTCACTCGCGCTCGTCGCTTGCAATTTTTTAAGGTGCTTTCACCACTAGTCGAAAGAAAATAGGGAATATTTTTTGAACCCTAAAAATTGGATTATTTTCAAACCGCTAAAACTCGTGGAAAAATCATCATAGACAAAAAATTAAGAAAGCATTTTGAAGCTTGAAGTTTCAACTTTAACGCGAAGTTGATGGTTTTTAAAAATTTTATTATCATCTTTATTCTGCGTTTTAAAAAAGAACATTGTTTTGTTCCTTAAGATCACATATTTTTGACACTTTGCAATTGGATAAAAAAATTTTTTTCGAAAAATTCAACTCAAATTCAATAAACTACAACATTTTGCCTACAAAATGCTCTTTTTTAAATTTTCCTACTATTTTTATTGACCGAGCTACCTAACTTCGAAACCAACATTCTTTTTATGTGAAATGACGTATATCGTCGACATTAGCGTTATCCAATGTGTACCGTGGAGATTGCCGGTTGAATTTTGCACATCGCGCGCGCGTGTGTGTGCGTGTGTACACGGACGCATGTGCACATACACACACACACACACACACACACACACACACACACACACATACAGCGGAGAGGATGTCATTGGAATCATTAAATACTACGGGAGTGACGAATTGTGGAGTCCTTATCTCTATAGTGTAATACACACACACACACACACACACACACACACACATATATTGAAATTTGAAAGTAGAGTAGTTATTGTAAAAATCCAGCCAGGATCAAATTATTAAATCTAGGTTTCTTCCTATTTATCCTGACTGATGATCCCCAAATTAATATAACACCCGCGAAAATTGTCACATACGTACATATACAACACACATACACACATTCGATAATACCTTCGCTTTAAGATTATTATATTCTTTCAAAATTTATAAAACCTTATCGATGTATTTAACTCTTCATGGATTAACTCATGAATAAATTCTGATTTATGATAGTATTGTTATTTTTTTCTCTACCCGCTCTCATTCCCTGATTCCCGAGATCACGCAGGATCCCGTCCCGTGTAAAAGAGATTAAATTCTCTTACCAAAAAGAGATCGATGAGCGTATAGACCTAGGACACACAAGGTTAAAGGGATCATTCCAGTTACTGACCTGTGCTAGGCCCCTAACAGTGCACTCGACCTGATCCCGAAAAAGTGTGTCACTAAGTAAGTAGGTTGCGTCCTTCCAGATGGCCCGATCTTTCAAGGATTTGGATGTAATATATTGTATGAAATTTCAACAAATGATGTCTTCCGTTGCCCGAGTTTTATAAAAATATATTTTGCCAATCAACTGTATTATAAAAAAATATGTATATTTTTTGACATTTTAATTACACTCGACTAATATAGCTAATATTTTCACTGTGTATTAATTTAATGAACACTTGAATGATAAGCAACATGAATCAGCACAGATGAACATATGCATCGAAAGAAAAATTGTTAAAGTCTGATCGCGAAAGTCATGTTATATAAACAATTTAAAAAAATTTTTTTATAGGATCGATATACTAACTAATCATATTAATAATAAAATAATCGTCAGTCCATGACCGAAATGTGACGTCAAAATAATGTTATATCAAGACGTGAATATGAAGTCATGTAATAAATCAGTCATTTTGACGACATATAATCAAAAATGACCAGTTTGAAATGTCTCAAATGACACGTGCTTGCTACTTAGGCTAAGAAGATACATAATGATAAAATATTTCAACCATTATTCTTAAGCAATAAAACCATTTTATGGATTATTTATTAATAGAGAACTCTTATTAATAGCAGTGATAGAGCCGAAAAGACAGAACCGTTATTATAAAAATGGAAGATCTTTTCTTAATAATAGTAATGCGATAAACTGTTATTAAGCAACGCAATGAACGCGAAATTAATTCGAGTCCTTGAACGATAAAAAAATACATTTATCCTTGGAAATTCTTAATATAGAAGATGCAAATATTCATTTATTGCGTCATGTTCAATACGAACTTATCTTAACCATCTCTCTTGTGAGATTTCGAAATATATATGATAAAAAAAATCCACTTTAATGGGACTCTAATCTAATTCCTGATACAAAAAGATTTGAAACACTCCTCAATTATTGATCCTCTATAAGTACATATGGGGAAGAATGTATAATGAAAAATAAACGATAAATTTATCTGTGATGTACGTTTTTATTTAGTTTTTATTTTAGGTTTTTATTTTAGGTTTTAAATAAAATAAATAATGTGATAAATCACACGTGATAAATCATATGTATTAGATTTTAATGGAGCTTTGTCATAACAAAGAATTAGTGTTTTGAAACACAATAAAGCTTCCACACCACATATTTTATGTATCATAAGTTTATATATATATATATATATATATATATATGTATATATATCTTTTATTCCCGTAAAAGTACATATATTTCTCTCTCGGATAACATAATAATACATTTATCGAAAGAATAACACATATATTTCATAAAAACTTGTATTTTTATTTTAAGTATTTTAGAAACATTTATGTTATATTTATATTTTTATTGAGGAATTAAAAATGTTTTAGTAAGGTTTACTTTTTTTTCTTTTTATAAGTGTCCGCGATGTAGAATCTAATCTTTGTCTTCATATTACAGCTAATATTAATAGTATATATTAATCGGAAGAAGATTTCTAATAGTAATTCTGATAATAATTAGTAGATTATTAGTAGATAGATAGTATATTTTGCTTTCACTCTATAATTATTCCAAATCGATTCATATCCCTTGCGCATAAGTGTAAGTAGTTTAAAAATATAAATACGTAAGACAGAGAAAGATAAGTCGGGCAATGAACGATCAAGAGACTATAGTTTCTCATCTTCACGTTCCACAAATTACGTATAGTGCAATAAACAAAAATGCAGTACAACGTTTGCTTTTCAAATAAACTTTTAAACATGAATCTGCCTATAAACGGTATCGATTTTATTTTTTCGGTAACGTAGTCCAAGAAAAATCTTATCATTTCAACATTGTTGTAAATAAAATATAATACACCGAAGTAAAATAAAAATATCGTCGTGATATGAAGAATGTACATCCTAAAATAAATAAATAAGCTTCATAGAATACGACAACATAAAAAATTTTAACAACAATATATTTTAAATATAAAATATATTTTAGGACTTTCATTTCAGCCGGTATAACTGGTGTTACATGTAGCGAGAAAGAGTTTGTTCAAGCGATGAAAAAATGGGTTGGAGAGTATTAGTTGGAAGAAGGAGAAAGAAAGTTGGAGAAAGTGGAAGAAGGTTTGGAGGAGGAAATGGAGACGAAGGAGCGTGTGAAGGTGAAAAAGGCAAGGGAAGGTGTAAGGGATACAGGAAGAAAGATAGGAGAGAGTGCTGTGTGGAGTCGATTGGGCGTAGACTAGCAGTGATAAAGAATACTTACATAGGTAAAGAATACTTACATTCTTTGACGCCGACTTTCGGCAAAGTAGATAGATCTTCTTTCATGCAATATTGCCGTATGCCAAGGACTAAATGCTGCAAGTATTTCATCTTATCGAAATTATAAATCATAGTTGGAA